TTTTTTTTTTTTTTTTTTTTTTTTAAAAAATCAGCAAACACATGTTCCTATCAAAGCTTTCTATCCTGCCAGCAGGGAGAAGAAATGGTGGCCTCTGACTTTTTGACCTGATGTGCTGAGTGATTCAATTTGAAAATAACACAAATAACACAAGAAGATGGATGGTGTTTGTGGTATTTTAAGGTCAAAGTACTATGAAGAAACATTTATTTTCCTTTCCATTTCTGTCCAGTAAAGTCAGATCAGTCCTGTGGCCATGTTGAACCCACTGTGAAGATAAAGTGTTGAAAACTTATAGACAATTTAGACAAATTATCTTTTCTGTTACCCTTCAGTGTTACTTCTGCTGGAAGGGAGAAAAAAAGACAAGGATTTAATTCTAAAACGCTTTGATGCAACAAAATGGATCATTCTTAACAGAAATTAAATACAGAAAGACAGAAATTTACTTGACAGATATTTCTCAGCATTTATGAAAGAGATTAGGAAAAAAGAGAACTATTTCAATTAGAATTATGTGCTGAAGTGACTGAGGAAAATTAAAAAGCGACATTGCCAGCTTCCAGTAATTCATGAATTAGCATTCAAAACAGGGCTGTTACATAAGTAGCCTTTAATTGAAAACACTATTTTCTCCTTTCACATAAGTTGTAACAGCTGAAGACTGAACAGAAGTTAAAATAAAAAATACAGTTAATCATAAATTATCAGTTTGACCCTGTGCTCTGCAGAATTATTAAAGCCCTTACAAAGAGTCACAGCTTCCTCTCTCCCCACAGTCTGTGGGGTCACCTTAGAGCAATTTCGGTGTCTATACACGGGCATCCCATGCCAAGGCACCCGTAGAGGCCTGGCACATGTGATGAATTGCTGCTAGAGACCTACATCCTTCTGCTTCGTGGTGGGAACCAGGAGGGACAGCCCTGGTGACACCTGAGGAGTACTGAGCACCTGAGATGCTGCTCTCTTCACTTCTTTGTAACTCATTTGCAACCTCCTGC